CTATTTTTCGAGCGATTTCATAAACTTGCGGCTATTATGTTGCTAAAGCAGTTTCTTGCTGTAGCTTTTAGCATTGTTCTGTGTTTTCCTCCCCCCCCACCGGTCATTACCCTTGACCGAGTTTGGCAGAGAACCGTGTGGTTCAGTCTTGCTCAGGCTTAAGGCCTGTGTTACTCTGTGTAAAGGCAATCAGCATAACAGATCTCTGTTAGAGGGTTTATTTCGGGGCCCACAGATTCAAAGCTCTGGCTATTAAAAAGAAGGCCCCCCCGTTCTATTTCCCCACAGTTTGTAAAATACCTCTGTTCTTCTGTTCCACAGCCAGCTGTTTTTCAAGAGTTTCCCTCAGTTCTCGCTCCCTGAACAACTCCATCTTCAGCTCCGTCTTTTCCAGCTGGACCTGTTTCTCTTGAGCTCTGGCATTGTCTATGGCAACCTTTAATAGGCCCTGTTCAAAGATGAAGTTGAACATTGCAAAGTTTGGAAATGTAAAACAGCGGACATAATAAATTAACTTCTGTTGTATTTTCTTGATTAGATATAAGAGATTTTAAGTATAAAATAATCCTGCTGCCAGGTCACGGTTATGTGAGCGCACATAACAGCCTAATAAGCCTTCCTAGTATCAGCAGCACATTTTTACTGAAACACAGTCAAACAGGTGGACAAGCTATATGTAAAAACACATAGGGCCAAATTTTCAAAGGCACTCAACACATCCTTTGTATATACTTGATATAAGTTACAGAGCTAGATTTATTCTTCCCGAAGATTAAAATGCAACGGTGTCACCCCGCAACAGTGAGGGGCACCATCCCCAAAGGGAAGGTTGCCTCAAAGTCCCCTTTGGGCTTTCTTCCAGAAAGTGGCTTCTTTAATTTCTGCAATGACCTCCATATGAGCCTACCTGATGGGAGCTCTAGTAGGGATGTAATAAAGCAGCACATCACCAAGATACTCTGCTCATTACTGTTATTATTAATAATAATGATATGTATTTAAATAGCCCCAGAGGTCCCAGCTGAGATCAGGTCCTGACTGTGCTAGGCATTCTACAGACACATACTGAGAGATAGTACCGGTCCCAAAGAGCCAGCTCCCTGGTCAGGCAAAGGACAAACAGCAAGCTTGTTCCACTAGCTTTCCCATTGTCAGAGTCTAACAAGACCTCCTTCAAATCCCTCTTTTAAACCCATTTTAACAGTCCATCCCATTTTCTTCTTAATGCTCCTCATACCCACTCTTACCTAAACTGTTGTCTCATATCTTGTCTAATTCAGGGCCTAATCCCTTATGGTATTATCACACAACTCCCACTGAAGTCTGTAAGAGTTGAGAGAGCTCAGCACTTAATGGGAGGTCCTCCAATTGTAAAGTTCTCATGGCAGGGAACATGATGCACTTTATAGGCATGTATGTTATGTTATTTGTGCACACAAATTTGTTTATGCATAAATTTGTTTATGCAGGCCACATTTTGAAAATCCCTCTCAACCTAAAGATAACGAAATTGCATAACAATATGTTTAAAAGTAATAGTCCTCTTGAAAAGAAGTTAAAAATGGTAAAAAATAATCTACAAGATAATTATGATTCTACTGTTAATTTTGGAAGCTACCAAACAAAACTCTATCGGACTAAATATAAAATTACATAGACATGTTCAAAATTAAATACAGTTCAAAACAAAACAAAACAAACACAAATAAATAAATGGAAATAGTAATAATAGACCCCTTCCAGAGTTTTATTTTTAATTTTTTAACATATATCTGGAATTTTTTCCCAATTTTTTAAAACAAGAAATAATTTTTCCTTCAGACAACCCACACAGTTTTCACATGAAAGATACTTCTGAACCAATGAGAAATTCAAATGAGGCAGTAAACAAGAGGTTTTGTGTTTTTTTAAATCAATGTTCTCCTCTTACTTCAGCAAACAGTTGAAATCTAGAATATTCTCAACTCCTCCCATTTATCTCCGCCCAGAACATGCAAATCACCCAAATCACTCATAACCCCAAATCAGGTGAAATTATACAAAAAGTTTCCCCTTGATGCAAAATAGACAAAGAATTTCTAAGGTGCAGACAACCTTCTCCCTCACTGTGACAATTCATCTTGTTTAACAATAAAATCTAGCAGCTAAGGCAACTGCCATCTTTACTCAATTCAGCAACATTCATGTACATGTTTCTTCTTCATCAGGAACAAACAATTAGTATCAAATGAAAGAGATCATTACATCAAGTGCCCTTTTAGATCACCCCAATTAAAACTTTAGTTTAGCTGTATTTTAATTCTAAGAAACCAAATTCTAATTTTCTGCTCTGATTGCTCTTGTTGACTTATCTTTGAAAGATGTACTGTCAGTGCAAAGCCTAGAGATTATTTAGCAAGATGCCAATGTTGGCACCACTTAATGTGTTGATTGGTTGTATTATCAGTAGCAGTTTAAAATAAATTACTATTACACTATCATTGTCCTTGGCTAACAAAACACAATATTTTGGTGTTCTTTAAATATGAAACAATCATTATGAATAAACATGTAGAATAATGCTAAATTGTAACGCTGATGTGTGTAATTTTATATTAAGAACCTATGCAAAATATGAAGCTGCTAAGAGCATATTACATTTCCACTGAATTTCTGTATCACACCTCTCCTAAACCCTTTTTGGTTTTTTTTACACTTGCTGCTAATGTATCTAATGGCAATACATTACTTATTGCTGCTGATTATGTCTGAAAAATATTAGCTTTTTTTGAGCCAAGACCCACTAGGGACTACTTATAAGCTATACAAAATTAAGTTCCATTTTTAGAAGTTAAATTAGTGCACATCAGTAGGCGTCCAATGTGAACAAAAATCTGCACTGGAGCCAAACTGATGCATATGCAAAAGTGCTGTTGCTGCCAATGACAGTTTTAATGCAAAAATACTGGAAACATTCAATATCTGCCTTTATTCAATGCAACCGGGGGCTGGGAAAGGCAACTAATCAGTACAATATCTAAAAATCATCAAAACACCTTGGAGCCAACAACTGTAATAGTAATTTCAGAGTTGTGTGAAATCCTGCAAATTTTCCCCGTGGTTCATTTGCAAAAGACTACACAAAATAAAATATGTCCACCTTGGATTTGCTATGGGTAATCCTCTAGTCTGACAATATATCAATTTGATGCCAATTATAATGTGAAATACAGTGCAACACAAGACATGAATTAAAAGAAAATATTTTTCGTTAAGGAAGGCCAATTATTATGGAGATTGGATAATGATAATTGTAGCGAACAAGCTGAGGTTCCATATTTGTTTTTAATACAGTATGAATGTAGTGAGGATAAACTGGAGCAAGACTTCTAACAGAGTATAATTCTTCCCCTTTAGGCCACTGTTAATACATTTTCTAACTTCAATGTAAAAATACTAAGTGTTCACAAAGAATTGCTTTTTCTCCCTGGTGCTTTATAAGCCACCACTATTTGGTTTAATTTTTTAAAAATATTTTCCAGTGATAAATTCTTCAAGAAAAATGCTCCAGCAAAAAATATTAGTTTAGGTTTCTTTCCTTTTCTAACTAATATGATAGTATTGGACAACTGAGTACATGATCTTGCAAGGACAGGCTACAGTTCCCATCATATATATTGATCATAGTCTTAACCCATAAGGCCAAAATCACCCATTATTGTTTTTCAGAAAGCACTAATATTGTGTTATCAATTCTGAAGCTGGCATAAACAAAAATTATATTACTTTTAGTACTTATATTACCTTTTAGTAGAAACTGAAAGGCATGCAGAAGCTCTTCGTATCTATTCTCAGATCTGCTATGTTTTTTATGTAACATATCTTTCTTAGGATTAAATATGAAACAATTACACAAGAACACAATTAAGACAACCCACTAAATGATGGAAAATATAGTTGGAGCGTATACTCCATTCTTAACTTGTGGCATTGAGAATAGAGATGTGTGAGCACCTGAGGCTTTATACTGACACACGTGATTGCAGCAGAGGCTGGGTGAAGACAGTGAACAATTTATTGAAAGAACTTTGCTTCTTTTTTTCAGTCTGCAAATTATCCACGAACAGACCTTGATTTTTACATGTTTGTGCATTATTAAATATTATCCGATGAATGATTTACAAAATATATGTTTGCCTTTGGATTGCTTGCTAACTATTCAACATGACTAATGCTTTGGGTATTGACTATTTGTAATTCACTATTTGCTCTTTTGATTCGTAACCTAAATCACATGACATTGTTTCTGTGCTCTTTCAATAGATGATACCCAAAAGAGCTTTCTTTGAATAACTCCAGGATGAATACATTGGCAAATGCATATTCGCACAAGTATATGTGACTTTCCCTTTCCATTAATATTCTTGGGAAGAAAATTTCACTCTTTTGAATTTTGCACAAAGCAAATAAAAAGGGCTGCAAAAACTGCTGAAGCAAAGCTGTGGCTTTTGTTTGATGTAATGCTTGCAAATATTTTTCTGCAGTATTCACTCATATTTATTTGCAGTGCAGAAAACTTCCAGGTTTATAGTTAGTCTTTTATTTTGTTTTCATAACTGAGTTTAATCTTCTCGTATATTTCTATTTTAATTGTATCAAGAGAATATTTAAAAGCCATTTTGTTCTTCTTTAAAATGGATTCTTAACAAGAGTGCTACTGTATGCTACGGTTACAATCGAAAGTACTAAATATGGGGTGCAGAATCAGACCCTAAAGCTCAAAATAATATTACTATTACTGAAGATTATTACAATATTGTAATACAGCATTGCTGTGCGGCCACATCACTTAATTTAACTTTCAAAACATAGTTTCTAGTACTTTTGGTTGTGAAAGTATCTGTTTGAATGTGAACTGATGAAGAGCTGTCTTCCTATTTCTATACACCAAGACAAAAACATTAGCTATGACAGAGGAGTGAACTTCCCCATTCATTACAATGTGATGGTTAATCTGCACCCAATTAGAAATTTAAACATCAGCATTAATTTTACTGAGTATAATATCAGCAGAAGCATCACGATCCTATGCTTTAGCTGGTGTGTTTGATTCATTTGAAAAGATGTACATCAGAGGAGTGAGGTTACACATTTAAAGATCAAAATAATGTAATGTTTGTTCTATGTAATACTTTTGGATAAATCCTCACCCCTTCGACTGGCCCCTTTGCATGGCTTCTGAAGGAAAGCTGCCCACAGTAGGCATCTGAGGATTCCCTGGTGTAGGAGATATGGTGGAGGGGTAGGGGTATGTCTGTGATCCCTGCATGTGTAACAATAAAAGATTCATTGAGGGCTAGGATAGAATCGTGGTGCCTCTGAATTATGATTCCAGGATTAAGGGAGTACAGAAGTGAGTTAAATCATATTATCCCACCCCCTTCCTCGATCCTGCAACAAATGTTGCTTAGCTGCACCCAATGATTTTTCCCATGTATTCATTTATTGTTGATGGTCCTTAACATTGGAATTGCAGAGGGAGGACAAGAGGAAAGATCATTGAGGGATCCCTCTACGAATAGAAACATGGAAAACAAAATGAAAAAGTATCAGGGGGTAGCTGTGTTAGTCTGCATCCACAAAAACAACGAGGAGTCCAGTGGCATCTTAAGGACTAACAGATTTATTTGGGCATAAGCTTTCATGGGTAAAAAAACAAACTTATGTCCAAATAAATCTGTTAGTCTTTAAGGTGCCACCGGACTCCTTGTTAAAATGAAAAAGTAAGATCTCTGAGCTATAGGGTGAAGACATATGTATATGACATATATGACGGTTTCATTTGCATGAGTTTGTGATGGCTGCATTACTCACAAGTGGGGAAACAATAAGAAAATTATGTAGAAGGGATTATGTTTTCCTATGTCTTTGTACAGTGCTTAGAACAATAGAGCATGTTATTGTTTATTTTATTATTGTTATAGCTATTTATTGTTTGCATTACAGCAGTAACTCTTCAGAACCCTTTTGTTCTAGGTGCTGCACAAACATGCAAGTAATTTATAAGAAGACAACACTAAGAAAAATGTAACTTTTTTGTTAATTACTCCACAATGCTGCAAATAATTAAACATTTTATTTGTTTCTGTAAGTATTTTGCTGGAACTAAAAACAAAAAAACAAGATTAAAAATAAAGCTGCAGATTTAGAGAAACAGGAAAAAACAAGTCGGCAAACTTCAGTGGCTGCTCTGATGAGTAGGCCTGCCTTGCATTAATTTAAAATTATGGGCCAGTAGAGCTGCACTAATTTACATCAGCTCAGGGTCTGGCCTGTTTCTTTAAGTGTAATAGAGAAGACCTGGGTTCAGTTCCCTAGTCTCTAAACCCTTGTCTACAATACAATAATCACTGGGAAATTATTTTTAAATATGTTTTCAGCTAGCATATTTTCCACCACAGTGTAGCCAGGGATTAATCCTGAAGAAAATGAGAGGGTGCCTCTGCCAGTGGGGTGAGTGAGAGAACTGATCAAATCCAAAAGAAGTCATGTTCAGCCTTCTTAGGATAATAGGCTGCTTGACATTATGTGGGGATTGGAGGTAAAAAGTAGGGTCCCAGAATCGAAAAAGACATGAACAAAAGTTTGGATTCTTTGCATTGTGGGGTTTTTGTACCAGTCTACCATGGGTAACAACAACAACAACAAGTGAAATAATCTGAATTCTGCATTTAAAAAACAAACAAATCTGAATGTAGTCTCAGAAAATTAATCCCTGGTCATATATCATACAGTAGTACAACACTCTCATATTCAATCACAAGATTAGTTAACCTGTTGATACTAAATGTTTTACTCAGTAGTTTGCTGTCTAAAGACATCAAGCACACACATTTATTAAAAAAAGTTACTAAAAACTTTACTATACTCAGTGCTCAACTCGAATATTTATCCTCTGTATTTATTTGCTGCCTATTTTTGTGTCTTAGTGTGAAACAAAAGAAGTGCATTCTTTTCATTCTTTGCAACTTTGTTAGAGATATTTACCTTGTATTATAGAAATATATTTTTTTCTGTTTTATAAAGCGTAGGAGGCTCCAAAGTCAAAAATACCATGTTTCACATAACTGCACACTCAAATCATTCATGTGCAAATAATAACACTTAGCTCTTATATAACAACACTTTTTATTCATAGATCTCAAGGCTCTTCTCAAAGGAGGAGGGTAAGTATCATCATTCCCACTTTACAGATTGGGAAACTGAGGCACAATAGAGGTCATACGACAGCTCAGTGATAGACCCAGAAGCAGAATCCAGATTTCCTGACTTCTAGACCTGGACCCAGTCTTCTGGACTATGCTGCTTCTTAAATGCATTTTAACCAACATCCTCTCCTCAGTACAACATCTGTGGATTACAGGGAAAGAAATCATCCTCCCCCACACACCGTGGACTGGCAATGGAGTTGCTCCATAGACACTATTCCAGTGTAAAGATAGAAGTAGTTTCTGCTATGCATATGCAGGGGAAAGGACTGAAGGAGACACATAGCAGTGTATACTCTGGCAGAGATACTGCCTGGTTTTTGCCCTTATGTATTTCTACTGACCAACTGTGTGTTGATGCACAATGACGGGGCTGGCCATAAACTGGATTTCCTGCCTCTTGGGCCTTCCCATGAATGTGGGCAGGATTAGCCCCTTTTTGTCAAAGACCCCTGCTTCCACTTTTTCATGTCTAGCCATGTCTGTGTGTATATTTATACAGCTATATACCTGCATTACAGATGCAAGGTTTAGCTGCAGATCTCAATTCCCTTGGGGTGTTCAGATATAGAGTTTTAGTCTGATCACCTGCCACTCCCCTAGGTGTTTACTAGTATAGTAGAAACTTATTACTGAGATGACATAATAAATTAATAGATTTCCTACATTTCAAAAGGCAAGCCAAAGCCTGAAGTCCCATTAACTTCAGTGAGACTAGTTACAGAAGTAGCATTGCTATAGACTTTGGTGATTAAAATACAGTTAATTTCCTCTGTATTTGCAGTGGATGGTGCATTAGTACAAGAAACGTGATGAAAGATTATATGTGGCGGTTTGGGGCTACGCATACAAAGTACAGCTCGAATGAGCATACTAAGACTGTACTTTCCTGCACTGCCATTTTGCTGCCCCATGTGATGCATATCCATGTGGCTGCAAAAATTCCATCTGTTGACCACATGATCACTGCATGTGTGGGCAAAAACAAAACAAAAATCTTCTCTCATCTCAAACACTCCTTGGCTCCATGCTATATGCTAGTGTAAATCTTGAATAATGTTAGAATCAGACTATACTGTACACACAATAGGCATCCTGACTACTGCATAGGAAATCTGCAAAAAATTTGGTAATGCCCTTTGAAGTCTATTCTTTGAAGATAATACATTAATGGAAATGAGCTTATTTAAGTAAAAAAAAAAAAAAAAAAAAGAATTTTTTGTGAATACCTTTTATATTAGGCATATTTTAAATAGCTTAACATGTCATTTCTATCTTGACACTCCAGCAGTTTAAAGTAAATGTTTATTAAAGAAGTTTTTGTCTATTTAGTAAAAGAGATAAACTTAAACAGTAAAATACATCTCATTAGCCTGTAAAAAACCCGGCATTTAAGATGAATAACTTTAAAAATACCAATGTCACTTTCATCTAAGTCTCTGCTGTGGTTTCATATACAATCTGTATTTTCATGTACTGTATCTGACAGTTTCTAAGATCATTTGACTGTTGTGGTTCCTTTAAAACCTAAATTAATACAAAGTTTCAGTAAATTAGTTGATTCAAATAATCTTAAGAACTGATTACGCTAAAATGGCTGTATTAATTTAGACAAATCTGTCTCCATCCCGATAAGCTGATCTATAGACAGGCCTACCTGGATGTTAGTCAGGAGGGTCTCTATGGAAGACAATCCATCAGGGAATAGAAAAGGAGATGGAAAACCTGGAGGTAGTGGTTGCCCATGCCCAGTTAGAGAAAGTTTGTCAAGGCTGTCTCTTGCGGTTGGTGTGGAGAGCGGGGTCTCATCTGTATGTGATTGAAACAAAAATATAGAACAAGTTACGCTTGTCTGTTTTTATTAGACCTCAGTAATGGCTTCCCTAGTGGTTTCCAGAACATTTATTGCAAATTGGTTCCTGCTATCAGGAGAAAATGCTTTCTGCTGAATTTTCTTTAATGAAAAAGCTGTGGAGATACAACAAGATAACATTAATGAGTAACTTTATAAGCCTTTTAAATGCAGTCTCTAATGAGACTGAGTTTACAGTGCCATAGAATCTTTTTAAAACAAATATTATCTCACATATACTTATGATAATATATTCAGTCTGACTTTATAGGGACCTTCCAAATTATCTCATTTTAGTTTGTGTTCTATTTGGATTGACAATAGAATATTTTCAAGCATGACATATATTGTGTATACGAGTAGCGTTTGAATACAGGCAGCCTACCTATACAGTTAACTCTTCTTACTCGTGACAGATTCATATGTGACTTTAAAGATCCTGCAAAACAGGGCAAAACTACAATCCTCCATGCATTTTTAAAAAGGAAAGTACACGTGATTCCTGCAATTCAAACTTACTCTAAACAATAACTGAAATTAACAGTATGGTTACAATCATGTTTTTAAACATGGACATCTTTTAACAATTAGTGCTGGACTCCTCAATAGAATCTTTGTAATAATAAGAACTGATTATTTGTGACATCACAATGGGAAAAAGGGCCACAGCTAGAATACTTTTACGGTTAACATTTTTCTGATAATCTGTGAGTCGATAACACAGGAACAGATGCAAAACAATATTTAACAGGCACTTTAATAGTCAAATATTCTGTCACAATTTGAAATTTTAATATTCTACTGTTGATACGTTACAGATATTGGGCCCATTTTATTACACCAAGCATTTATCTTGCCCCTCTAGGAGAAAAAAATCTGTCTTTATAAATTATACTTACTAAGGGCTTGATTATACCCTATTGAAAATCCTCATACAAATTAACCTAAACATATTGATGAATTTCTATACCAGTGGTGAGCAACCTGTGGCCCACTTCCCACAGCTCCCATTGGCTGGGAACGGTGAACTCCGGCCACTGGGAGCAGCGGGCGGCCATGCCTGCGTAAACATTGTCTTGCAGCCTGCCAGTGGATTACCCTAATAGGCCACGTGTGGCCTATGGGACGCAGGTTGCCCATCACTGCTCTATACTATGTAAAGGCAAAGGAACTTACTCCTGATACTAACCTTTTGCAGATCTTTGCATAATAATCTGACTGTGGAAGGGTTTGTCAGATCTGCCCTTCTTCATATAAAGATAAATATACGTGCATTTTTCCTTGTGTTGTACTTAATTTTAGTTTCAAGACAGCAGAGTCATTTTTTCACCATTAAACATATACTAGCATATGCATTGGAAATTGCATTGCATAAAGTTCTGGTACTCATTATGTCTATAATGATTTGATGAAGAAGTGGGGACTTTATTTTCTTATGTACACATAACGAAGAACTA